CCGCCCCCCCCAAATTCCCACCTCTTCTATTCGCCGCCACCTCCCAGGCTACCTTCCAATCCTAACCCTAATTACCCCCAATTAGCCCCTCGGCCCCCTCACTCTCACGATCCGCCGCACCTCCTGTACCCCCTCGCCTCCTCCAGCCGAGGGTTTGTATCCAGGCCGGCTGGGGGTACCTCCCCGAGGCCGCCGTTTGTTTACCCTTATTTTGATCCGGGTCGGGGCAACCCGGGTTTCGTCAGGCCGAACCAATTGCCTCAGGTGCTCCTCGGGTCCGGGCCGGGTTCCTCTGTCAACCCTTCAGGTACAGGGGTGATGCCTGGTGTAGTTAAAGGAGTTCCTGTCTCCTCTTCACACCATCCAAAGGTGCTTCATTTTTTTTTTTCCTCTTATGAATTGTTTTGTTTTAATTTAGTGTTTATCGAAGTTAAATTTTTACGAAATAGTTATGGGTTGTGAGTTTTCTTTATTGAACTAAGCAAGTATGAAATATTATATTTTCGCTTGTCCCCTCCATCTTGTGATGAAAGAAAAGAGCTACCGCTCCTCAATGTAATCGACCCTCTGGTGTGGAAACTTTGATGCATTAAAAAAAAAAAAAATCATGGACTAGTCGGATAGTTTGTGTTTAACTGTTTACTGCCAGTGATAGTTTGTCTGTACCTCTTCAATATTGCAACAGTTAACTTTAAAATAACTTTTTTGAGAAGTCTTCAATGAGTTTACTTTGTTAAATTTGTTAAAGAGCATAACTTTAAAAGAAAGTCATGCACTAGTCGGAACTCGGGTAGTTTGTGTTTAACTGTTTACTGCCTCTGATAGTTTGCGTTTACCTCTACAATGATGCAATGGTTAACTTTAAAATAATTTGTTTGGAAGTCTTCAGTGAGTTTAATTTTTTAAAGAGCATACATTAACCATGCTTGTTCCTTCCTTATGATACGTTTGAATATTTTTTAGGCTGGTCCGCCTTCTGATATTAATGGCCACAACAATTTAAGGTAAAACTTTTATTTCACATTTCTGTTCTTTATCAGTTTTGGATGATTGCCTCTCTCTGATAACAATGCTGATTATGGTACAAGATTGTCAAGGTTCTTTTTTTTTTTTTTTTTTTTTTTTGCTTACAGGGATAGAAATAGGGATGATACTCTTGCAGTTGTCAGAGATAGGAAGGTAATTATGCTTTCTATTATGTTTGTTTTATCTGAAGATTGGGTTAGATGACATATCTATTTTGTGGAAGTCTTCTTTGTGGTAATTATTTTGTACTTCCTATTTCGGTTTATACTTAATTTGTCATTATTATCTTCCGTCTTTTGCAGGTCCGGATTACTGAGAATGCCTCACTTTATGGCCTCTGTAGGTCATGGTTAAGGAATGGATTTCCTGAAGAGACTCAGGCATGCTTTTGGAAACTTTGGAACCTTCATTCTTATTAGTTTTTTTTACAAAGTTTTACTCTTGACTGTTCCTAATATGCATGTTTCATATTGATTCACGGTATTTATAGGATGCATATGAGATGGCAATTATTTGATTTAAGCATGTTATCATTTTCCTTGCAGAGAGAATCTTTATGTTTAGCAAATAAGGTTTTAATGGTAGACACCTTTAACAAGCTAAAGACGTGTGATAATGCATTATACAGGAATTTGCATGTTTTTTTCTTTTAGAATATTTCATTATATCTGCTCAGATATTTTACAGTCTGAACCATCATGCTTTGCCCTTGACTATGAACTCCTTATATATCTTTCTTGAATGAGTACAGGTTGATCTCACATGAGATTGTAAAGAGAGTTGAAAAATAGTAAAATTTTGTATGTTTGCTGCTTAGACAGGGAAACAGAAAAAAGAACTATAAATTTCAGACATGGAAGCATGAAACTTGTGTCATTCTGTTCATCTGAAAGTGAATTGTGTAATATGTGCTGAAATTGAAATAGATATGCATATAAACTGTTTAGTTTATTCCCTAAGAGTATGCACGCATTTTTGCTGTATGTGTGGTGATAGATAATTCTTTGTAAGAATGTATAAGTGGATATTTTGAGTATTTTGATCAACTGTTCGATTGAAGTCTACCTTTTCATCTGATACTCGGCTCTTCAGCTGCCACCATACCTGGATATGGTCAAATCTCTTCCAAGACCTTTGCCCGTAGCTGCACAAACTGTTGAATCACCCGATAAAGAAGCAGAAAACAAAGAAGTGGAAGATGAGGTTGGTAGTTATAAAATAAAGCTATCTGATTCTCATGAACCGATTTTTTGTGATACTTGACAAGTTCGAGATATTGTTATATATTATGAACATAGTGTATATTTGTGACAAAGCTCTGTCGGTTTCTTTTGCATCTTAACTTGTTTCCGTATGGTTAGGGCAGAATAAGTAAATTGGCGTGTCAATAAATTTTCAGGAAGAATGTTCTGTTGAGAATTTGTCTGAGAAGGAGCTCTTGCAGAGACATATCAAACGTGCCAAGAGGGTTCGTTCACGGTAAACGCTTCAGAACTAAATCTTTGTTATTTCAGTCATCATTTGTCTTTAGTGGTTTTGAATATTTATTTATTTAATTCTGACATTTGGTTGGTATCTTTTGCTGCACATTTTGTAGTCTAAGAGAAGAACGGTTGCAACGTATTACAAGATACAAAACCCGACTCGCGCTTCTGTTGCCGCCAATGGTCGAACAGCAATACAAGAATGAATCTGATCATGCAAACTGAAAAAAAAAAA